AGAGTGAGATGTCATAGAAGCTTTCAATTCACAGTGGCATTCAAATTGGCTGAGAAAGAGCTATGCTTGATTCTGCTCTACTCTGACACTGTAGCGAATTTGAGAATGGGAAGAATGCTATGTCTCTGGGTAGTGTCCTCTTCTTACCCCAAGACATTATTAAAATGATGGTATTGAATTTATTTTACAATGTTTGTGATTTAACCAATAATAAAGTGCTTCATTGTTAATGTTTCAGGCCAAAGAACAGACAGGAGCAACGGCTTCTGTCATTTATGTTCCTCCGCCCTTTGCTGCCGCTGCCATTAATGAAGCTGTTGAGGCGGAAATTCCCTTGGTTGTGTGTATCACTGAAGGAATTCCCCAGCAGGACATGGTACGAGTCAAGCACAAACTGCTGCGCCAGGGAAAGACAAGGCTAATTGGGCCCAACTGCCCTGGAGTCATCAATGTGAGTGCAAAAAATAAAAAGAAACCCAGATTAAGCCTCTCACAGGGCTAAACAGCTTTGAGTGAATGCGAGTGTATTTGTGTGTGTGACCTGTGAGTGACTTTTTTTTTTAACTTTTCTGAAAACTGTGATTTACTTTCAGCCTGGAGAATGTAAAATTGGCATCATGCCTGGCCATATTCACAAAAAAGGAAGGATTGGTGAGTTTGTTTGTTACATTCTTGTAGATTAAAACATTTGCCTTAAACCCTCAAAACTCACAAATAATTTTTGACTTTACAAATCAAATTTAATTTGACTTGAGTAGAATTTACCAGGGAGTTTTGTAGTCTATCAATTCTGTATCTTGAATATAATGAGTTTATTTGAGAAGCCATTACAATTCTACAGAATCAATGAAGATTTTTTTGGTGGTGGGAGTTTGAAGATTTTTTTCCTGCTGAGCACTCTGTGGATTCTTCCATGTGTTTGCATGTATCAGTAGTTAATTTCATTAACTATTATAACTTAGTTATTGCTAAGGAGTATTCTATTGTATAATTATACCGCAGTTTGTTTATTCATTTTCCCATAAATGAACATTTGGGTTGTTTTCATGTTTGAGCCTTACAAACAAAGCTTAGGTCAATATTTGTGTACAGGTCTTTTTGTGGAAACATTTTCATTTCTCTTGGGCAAAATGTGTAGGAATGGAATTGCTAAGTCATGTTCATGTGAACATAAGTCAAATATGTTTAACTTTATAAGAAACTGCCAAATAGTTCTGCAAAGTGGCTATATCATTTTATATTTTCATCATTAATGTAGGAGAGTTCCAATTGTTCCATATCTTCACAAACATTTGGTATTGTTAGTCTTTTCATTTTTTAGAGACAGAGTTTCACTCTGTCGCCCAGGCTGGAGTGCAACGGCTTGATCTTGGCTCACCCCAACCTCCGCCTCCCAGGTTCAAGTGATTCTCCTGCCTTAGCCTCGCGAGTGGCTGGGATTACAGGCATGCGCCACCATACCCAGCTAATTTTGTATTTTTAGTAGAGACGGGGTTTCTCCATGTTGGTTAGGCTGGCCTCAAACTCCCGATCTCAAGTGATCCACTGGCCTTGGTCTCCCAAAGTGCTGGGATTACAGGCGTGAGTTACGATGCCCGGCCATTAACCTTTTTAAATGTAGCCATTCTACTGGGAGTAAAATGGTATCTCTTGTGGTTTGAGTGTCCCTGATGACTAATGACGTAGAGCACCTTTTCATGTGCTTATAAGGCCATTCACATACCTGCTCAATAATTACCTTGTTCTCTTAGATATCACAAACTTTCTTAAAATGTTTTAGGTTTGTAGGCACCTTAGAAAGCAGGGCAGTGATCAGAAAGGCAACTCACATGGCCTATTACAGGAAAATTGTACTGCTGCGTGGTTAGTTCTTGAGGAAACAGCCAAAGCAACGTTTCAAAGTTGCCACATTAGGCTTGTGTTTAGGCTTTACACCAAACTTTCTCTAAACTATACTGTTTTTCAGTCATGAAAGATGATTGACCGTATTTTTCTCTATCTATAAACCATGGCTACTAATAATAAGGGTAATTATCATAGTGGATGAGTGTCGGCTGTGCAGTTTACAGAATTGGGTTAAAGGTCATGATTTTTGTTTATTACCAATGTCTCTTAGAGCTGTCAGCCCTGCTGCCAGTGGCAGTACTTGATAATTTCACTTACGAGAGAGGTTACAGGGAGCTCCATAGGCCATCTGAGTTCCAGTGGGGCCTGATCCATGTATTACTGGTGGTCTTGTACATACTTGAATATTTGTTATATTCTTGGGTCTGTTTTGAAGGCTGTGGTGTTAAGGTGAGCATGGAAGGAATGCTGTGTGCTGAGTTGCCTTTCTGATCACTGCTCTGCTTTCTAAGGTGCCCATAAACCTAAAAAATGAAAATCAAGAGTAGTTCAGGGATGTCCTTTAGACCTTGCCTTTGTGAATGGTCATAACCCATTGATGAGACAGTTGTCTGGGAGACTGCATTTAATTCCTTTGAAAAGGGACATTAAAAAATAATAATAATAATAAAATATGTGACACTGTGTCCAGAGTTGGTCCCTTCCAGTGGGTTCTTGGTCTCGCTGACTTCCAGAATGAAGCTGCAGACCTTCGCGGTGAGTTACAGCTCTTAAAGGTGGCACGGACCCAAAGAGTGAGCACCAGCAAGATTTATTGTGAAGAGCGAAAGAGCAAAGCTTCCAGAGCATGGAAGGGGACCCGAGCGAGTTGCTGCTGCTGACTCCAGTGGCCAGCTTTTATTCCCTTATTTGTCCCCGCCCATGTCCTGCTGATTGGTCCATTTTACAGAGTGCTGATTGGTCCATTTTACAAACCTCTAGCTACAGAGAGCTGATTGGTGCGTTTTTACAGAGCACTGATTGGTGCATTTTACAAACCTCTAGCTAGCTACAGAGCGCTGAGTGGTGCGTTTTACAATCTTAGCTACAGAGTGCTGATTGGTGCATTTTATAATCCTCTTGTAAGACAGAAAAGTTCTCCAAGTCCCCACTCGACCCAGGAAGTCCAGCTGGCTTCACCTCTCAACACTACAAGATTTTTGAGGGGGTAAGGAGAGAAAGATGGTTATTTGTGCCAGCTATTCTTATTTTGGTACCATTGCTAATAGTCTCAATAACCTCCTTGACTTCAGATCCTTAGGTTGAGAGTTAAGGGAAAGGAAAGATTTTTCAGTCCCTTGGGTATTTCTGAATGGAATATAATGTAATGTAATAACAGTGTAATAATGTAATGGATTTCCAGTTTTTGTTAATAACAGCTAATATAATTGCATGTCTGCTAATTGAGTGTTATTGAAGGAAGTGATTGGATTCCAAATTGATGATATTTAACTGTACCATGTTATTTTTTTCTCTTACGATAGACAGTTTGTTACTGTCAACCACATATCACATACTTGACTCTTCTGCCCTCTTTTAAAAATTTAAACTGCCTATATTGAGATAACTATAAATTCATGTGTAGTTATAAGAAATAATGCAGACAGATCACCCTTTATCCAGTTAGCCCAATGGTGAACATCTTGCAAAACTGTAGTATAATTTCATAAACAGAATATTGACATTGATACAGTCAATATAGAGAACTTTTCCATAACCACAAGTATCCTTCATGTTGCCCTTTTCTAGTCACTTGCCTCCTGCTTCCACTCCCTTCTCAATTCCTGACAACCAGTAATCTGATCTCCAATTGTATAATTTTGTCACTTCAAGAATGTTATATAAGTGGAATCATACAGAATGTAGCCGCCTTGGATTGCCTATTTATAGTCAGAATAAGTCTCTAGAGATTCATCCAGCTTGTTGTGTATCAGTGGTTTGTTTCTTTTTATTACTGAGGAGTATTCATGGTATGAATGTACTTTGGTTTGTCTAACCATTCACTTGTTGAAAGACATCTGGGTTGTTTTCAGTTTGGCCTATTACAAGTACAGCTGCTATAAACATTTGTGTACTGGTTTGGGTGTGAACATTGTCTTCATTTCTTTGGAATAAATGTCCAGGAGCATGGTTGCTGGGTTGTATGATACTTGCATGTTAGTTTTTTAAGAAACTGCTAAATTGCTATACAGTGTGGCTGTGCTATTTTCCATTTCTACCAGTAATGTATGAGTGATGCAGTTTTTCTGCAGCCTTGCCAGCATTTGGTGGTGTCACTGTGTTTTTATTTTAGCCATTCTGGTAAGTGTTTAGTGATAGCTCAGTGTAGTTTTAATTTGTATTTGCCTAATGGCTAATGATATTAGTTATCTTTTTATAGATTTTTAAAATAAATTTATTTGTCATATGTTATCTTTTTCAGTGAAATGCCCCTCCTTGGGTTTTGCCCATGTTCTAATTGGGTTGTTTACTTTTTTATGGTTTATTTTTTAGAGTTCTTTGTATATTCTAGGTACTAATACTTTGCTGGATATGCAGTTTACGTTTTCATATTTATTTAAAAGGGATCTTGTTTATATCTGCAAAAACTCTTCTTGGGATTTTGATAGGAATACACCATTACATAAGTAGGTAGGCATTACCCGCCTAACCTTCTCAGTGATGAAATGTCTCATAGAGGGGAGGGACCGTGTTGAAGACAGAGGATGTGGATGGGACAAAGGCACTGAGAATAGGGAAAAAGTGATAAATGAGACATATGGGGGGCGGAAGTTGTGGTGGTTGTCATTTGTTATGCATTAGGGTTCAGTAAGTGAATAATCTTAAAACTATTGAAATTAAATTTCACTTAAGAGGGTGGTCTTACTCCATTGATGAGTTTTCAGTTTCAACTCACTTAGTAAACATATATGTGTACCTTTTGTGCCTGGAACTATGCTTTAAGCTGGGAACATAGAGGTTGTGAAGACTCTTACTTATTGACCCCCCACTGAAAATTATAGTCTAGTGAAGAAGGTGTCTGCTACAGAATCCCAAGCACCACTGGGGGTCTCTTACTGAACCAGGTGGTAGGAGAATGTTGTTCTTAATTGGAGAATCAGTGTGTGGTCAGGATATTCAAGTTTCAGGCTGGTTGATCGAGCCTGACTATGAGTTTATTTGCCAAGCCAAAATTATTAGATAAAAATTAAAACTTGAAATTTATCCTTTCCTTTTTTCCTCATGGATGTTTTACAGATGGATCATTCCATTTTACTGTGTCAGCAGTAGGAGGCCATGTTATGTCACAGACTTGAGGGCAGGGCTCAGGCAGCAGGTAGTCTCCTTAGAGATGTTAAGCTGTTGATCAGAGGCACTGTCCTGCCTTCCGAATAAAGAGTTTGTGTTCGTTCCATCACAAGGCAGGCTTTCTGTAACGCAAATATAAATATCTGCCCATTAAAGCTAGGTAGAATCAGTATTTTAGATCAGGTTTTAAGGATTTCTGCTTTTGGTAAAATTTTTGTTTTTTTAAAAGCATTATTATGATTTTAATATAATTCTTAACAGTGCTGAAAGTTAGCATTAGCTAAAAGTGACCTCAAACTTAGTAGTGTTTGCTATAACACTAGAAAAAAATAATTACCTGTAGGTTGCTGTAGGCCATTCAGTGTTCTCTTCATGATCCTCCCTCTGTCCTCAGTATTTGGCATCAGTACCTGCCTTGACCTCAGGAACAAGAAGAGTTGACAAGAAATGAGCCCTCTTGTTACCAGAAAGTACTGGAATTGTACTGCAAGAACTGCTGTTCTTGTTTTCTTAGAAGAAAAAATTCAACCAAGAGATGCACAGCCAGGGTTAAGTAGCAGAGTTTATTAAAGGAAGATAAAGTACATTCAAAGAGAGGAACGGCTGACCGGCTGGCTGACCTCCTGGAAAACAGTAGCGGCAGTGTTTATTTAAAGAGACAGTACACCCTGAGAGTTGATTCCGAACAGGCTGCTCAAAAGAGAGGATGAGCTAGCAGCAGCTAATGCTGAGGGACCCTCTTTATGAGAATATTGCATGATTATTCATGAGGGGGCGTGAGGGGGTATCATTTGCAACCATGTTTAAGCAGTCTCCTTGTGTGCATATGCTCTGTAGTTGGACATGCTAGTATACACTTCGCATATCTCATTAGCATTTAAAATCTCCACCCAGAGATGTGGTTTTTACTATTATAATGAGCAAAAGGCTACTCTAGGGCAAGTTATTGGAGGATTGCACACGCTCGTCAGCAGGGGAAGTCCCTACCATGATTATCTCCAACTAGGGCCTGATAAGACCCCTTCAGGGCCAGTGGATTCCAACCACATGCCAGAAGTAGCCAGTGTAGCCATTGCCTTTTTGCAGACGGTCAGTAGGCAGCGCCTCTAGGACTTTTTCCAGGGCTCCCCTGCTTGCTTGTTTCTGGCCATCTGCCTAACATTCTTACTGTGTCTAATGGTAGCGTTAGGGCTTATAGTGAACCATTCGATGAATGAAGTTGTTTCTACCCCAAAAATACTTATGGTTTCACAGTGGTAGGTAAGACACAACTTCTCCTCGTTATTTCTTAGTAATGAGGGCAGTAGGAAATATAAAAGCATTGAGGAGATTTAGAGAAAGAGATTATATCTCACTTCTCTTTGGGGGTGATCAGGAAAGACCTCAAAGAGAAAGTAGCATTTAATGTGGACCTTGAAGGATGATTAGAAGTTTTGTCACATGGTGGAGGTGAAACACTCCATTTTAAGCAGAACAAATATGAAAAGATAGGAGAGCATGAAATATCAATGAGGAATAACCCAGTTTCACTAGGTAGGGAAATAGTAAGAAACAAGTCTGGAGAGGGAGGCTGGGACTGTGCTGGGCTAGGGAGTTAGAGCAGAGTTCCACATGAAGTGAGCCATCATTGAGGACGTAGTTGTCACTGTCTAGTGAAATGCATCTAAAAGAGCAATCTGACAGTGTTCTGTAGGGTCTGTTTAGCAATGACTAAGTTACGTACACACTGTTCTTTCAACTTGACTGGTTGGTATGGATAACCTGAAGTTATTGTGTGCCCAAATTCCTAGTGAGAAGATGCATGTATGCATAGGGCACACATTCAGTACGCGTTAGTGTACAATAATGGTGACATAGCACTTTGCTATGTAAACATGCTGTATAGAAGTTGAGGTAACTTATAGTTATGTTTTTTGTCTCAGGTTGACAAAAATTCTACTTGCCCTAGTAGGGTGATAATATTGTTAGAAAAGGGTCTTCTGAGTTCTTCAAAGTTGCTCCAAGGAAGGAGTTTAAGGAAAGTAAACCATAGACACCCTGGATTAATTTTTTTGTTTGTCTAAAGTATTACATAGATTGTGGCTTTGAATACATTACCTTTCTGGAAGCTCAGCCAAGCATAGTAAACTATAAGAGAAGACATCTAGCTGTCATTCCTCCCTGGCCCGCACTGGCTCTCTTCCCTCCACACACACTTAATCCTGATGTGAAATTGAGTGCTTTCATACAGGTCCATTTATAAAAGACATTAGGTGGGAGACTTGGTTCCAGAGGGATCTTGACCTTATTCCCCAGTTTTCTTTATATTGACTTGAAAGCCTATATATTGGTTGAAAATTATTGGGAAAATAGTTGTGGAGAAGATAGGTAGTATTTGAAAATGTGACTAATAGTTTGGGTACTGTATTAGTCTGTTTTACATTGCTACAGAGGAATATCTGAGCCTGGGTAATTTATAAAGAAAAGAGGTTTGTTTGGCTAATGATTCTGCAGGCTGTACATGAATGGCACTAGCATCTGTTCAGCTTCTGGTGAGGCCTCAGGAATCTTTTACTCATGGTGGAAGGTGAAGGGGGAGTACGCATGTCACATAGTGAGAGAGGGAATGAGAGAGGCCAGGATCTTTTAAAGAACCAGCTCTCATGTAAAGGAGCAGAGTGAGAACTCACTCATTACCATGGGAAGGGCACTAAGCCATTCATGAAGGATCTGTCCCCATGACCCAAACACCTCCCACCGGGCCCCACCTCCAACATTGGGCTTCACATTTCAGCCTGAGATTTGGAGGGGACAAATACCCAGACTACATCATGTAATATAAGTCTAATCTATTACATTCTGCCACTGTAGGTATGATTGTACCTACCAAATTTATATTGATATTATCCTCTTCATAAAGATTCTCAGAAGAGATAATTTAAGTCTTTCTTGCATTGTTTTTATAGTCATAACCTTAACTAATAATATACTTTCTCCTATGTCTACATTTAAAAACCTCCCTGCTTTAATTTAAGCCTTTCCTTTTCATTTCATCATTTGAAGATACTATTGATTTTGATGGCAAATCATGGAATGAATTTTATAGCTATGTTAGTCACTCAAAGTGTTCGGTAATTTAGTTTACCATATTTTAGTCTAACATAGAAACACAATCTAATATTTTTGAATTCTCTTTCATTAAGGCATTGTGTCCAGATCTGGCACCCTGACTTATGAAGCAGTTCACCAGACAACGGAAGTTGGATTGGGGCAGTCTTTGTGCGTTGGTGAGGGATTTTTTGCTAAAATCATTTTATTGGAGTGTAGTGTCTTCATTGGATGAGTATAATAATTATTGATTTTATTATTTGCAAAATATTTTGATACTCTTATAAAAAGGATGTTATGATCTCAAATTTAATTTGCTTAAGTATAAAGTCGTTCTGTAGTTTTTCAAGATTCATGGTCCAAGATTTCATTTCTAGGTTGAAGAACTAACGTCTTGGGACATGTGGCTCCTGGAGCACCTTGGGTGCCTGAAAACATCACTTCATTTGATTGCTCTGAAGAAGTGGTTCTTTATATTAGTTAGGACTTTTGCTGTCATTGCCATTATGTTCATCAGTGCTTCATAGTTACTGAATTCTTTGCCAATTAGTGTCTCGTTCTTAAGGCAAGCCTCTCAGGTGCCTCTGAGCTGGAAAATTGTACTGTTAGAGCCTTATTGGTGAGAAAGTCAAGGTTGAGGAAGGTTCAGTTACTCAGAACTTCTCTTTTTATCACACTATACTGCCTCCCATTTGAAAAAATACAAATTACAAGTTTTTACATTTTAAAATAATTGCATTATTTGTTGCCAAAAGCCAAGGCAAATTCCTCGTTTTCATATTAGTAAATATTCCTTCAAGTTCTTAGAATACCTCTTAACCTTCTAGAAGTATCTTTACCAAAAAATAACATATAGCTCTGGAGTGTTTTTATTAAGATCCAAATTCATAAATATTGAAAACATTAATTGAGCATTTCTACATGCAAAGCACAATCATAAGTGGAAGATACTTTAGTGTGACAGAGAATAAGGAAAGGTTTGAAACAGGCTTACTGATTCCTTCTTTTCCAGCTTTAGTTTTGATTTGTAAATGGAGGATAATAATGCCTGTCTCACAGAGAAGTTGAGAAAATTAGGAAATGACGGATCTAATGTGTGCCAAAGCATAGGACTTGACACACGGTTGGCACTTAATAAATGCCGGTTCTCTTCTTCCACTCCATTTTTCAGAGATGCAGTGAAAAGTAAGAAATCAATCCTGCCCTCAGTAAGTTTATAATTTAAAAATAAAAAGTGGCAGCCTCTCTGTAGGGAACATTTACTTTAACCCTGTCTAAGAACTCGTTCTTAAATGTGGTGTGTAGTACGGCTCTGATATGCAGGCTCTGTCATCACCGCTCTGGATCCAGAAGAGGAGGGATCAGGGCAGTCACTATCACTCACTGGCACTTGTGTCTTAAAACTTCTGGGCAGTTTATCTGCAGCATACTTCATCAAATAGTTTCTTTGCTCAAAGAAATTTGTTAAATGTTTATTCTTTCCTCTGGTGTAACATCAGCATGCAACACAGATACACATTTTCTTAAAATGTTCATTTCTAAGGAGTTATCTGGGAGTAATTTTGTGAGACAGAAGAGGCTTGATAAAGGAGCTAAAGCAAAAAGAGGGTTGTCTTTATTACAGCCCTAGAATATTCCTAGAATATCAGGAACCAACCACCATTTAGCATTTATACAATATTACCAACAGAAATAAATGTAGCATTTTGTGGTTTTTAAAATATTAAATGCAAGAGTAATGATACTTTAAAAATATTAGGGAGAAGGGTAAGAAAAATGACAAACTAGTTAAAAACATTTATTGACCTAAATTCCAAGGTTCACTCTTAAATTTCCAGCTATTGATATTTTTCAACTTTTTCAGGCATTGGAGGTGATCCTTTTAATGGAACAGATTTTATTGACTGCCTCGAAATCTTTTTGAATGATTCTGCCACAGAAGGCATCATATTGATTGGTGAAATTGGTGGTAATGCAGAAGAGAATGCTGCAGAATTTTTGAAGCAACATAATTCAGTAAGTTTGGGTTTGGAAAAATATAGCTCTTTGCTCTTAATATCAGAGGCTTGTTTCAGAAGTTATTTTTATTTTTTCAAAGGTGAACTTTTTGAGAAAACATGAAAGACAAAACTTTTCTGAGCAGGGACTTCTATACCGGACACTCAGACAATTCTGTATTATTTCTGGGTGATTCTCTACTTCCCTGTTCTGAACTCTCCTCCCCAGGCATCATCCCACACTTTGTGGTAGGTAAGTTGTTCTTCTGCTGAACAGATACATTCAGGCCATCAGCCCGAGAGCCCCTACTTGACCTGCAGACTTGGTTTTTGCCTGTGACTGGTATTCTTTCTCCCGATCTCAGAGGGAAATAAGTGTTGTTTTCTCTTTTTCAAGGCTGACCTAAAGATCCTACCCCTCCTGCCTTTTTTTCAGGATCTGGCGTCCCTCTAGTTTTAGACTTC